ACAACTCTCCACACCCGCAGTGGCATCCTCCCCTCCAGTCGTTACACTTTCCTCGCCTGTATTTGCAGCTTCTTCCCCTACAGTTGAGCTTTCAACTCCTTCTGTTATTATTTCGTCACCCGTTGTCACACCTTCTTCGCCAGTAGGCGCACTTTCTTCGCCTGTATTTGAACCTTCCTCGCCCATAGTTTAACTCTCAATTCCATCTGTTATTATTTCGTCACCTGTTGTTACACCTTCTTCGCCAGTTGGCGCGTCTCCTTCGCCAGTAGTCATTCTTCGGTTGCACTTCCCTCACCCGCATTTGCTGCTTCTTCACCCGCATTTGAACCGATATAAACTGGGGTTGCATCTTCCTCGCCCACGGTTGAGCTCTCCACAACCTCAGTGGCGCCTTCCTCCCCCGCAGCAGCACTTTCGTCACCAACAGTTGCACTTTCCTCGGGCACAGTTGCAGCTTCGTCTTCGACCACCGTTACAGCCTCCTCACCCGCAGTTTCTGTCGTTGGTCCACCCTCTTCGCCATTTATGGTCTCTTCTTCCGCCGTTTTCTCTCCTTCTCCCTTCCCCTCCACGAAATCCACCTCTTCCCCATCTCCCTCAAGATTAACGTAGACTGAGTGGCCCTTCCCTCCGCCGCCCCCGCCACCGTGGCCGCCAGTATGCCCCCCGCCGCCGTGGCCGCCAGGATGCTCGCCGCCGCTGTGGCTGCTCGTATGTCCGCCACTGCCGCCTCCATTACCGTGATGCCCGCCTTTTTTCATGTGCTTCTCAATCCAATCCGCGTAGGCAGAAATTTTCGTATAGACGCCGGGAAACTCTTTGTTAGCGCAGCCTTTACCTGAGAATAAAATCCGACATATTATGTTTTATAAAGACGAGTTGAATATTAAATATCCAAGAAACAATTTCATTCCTTCGTCGAGATATGCACATTTGTCGCGTGGTAAGCAAACGAAACGGAAATTTAAAATAGGTAAACTGAAAGCTATCTAAACAGTTTTCAGCGCATTAATCTTTTACAATTTACTGGAAATAAAATTCAGAACAGCTTTTTTATATAGAATAATGCATGCCTGCACCGTTGACCTTACCATACGAAACTATCCCCACGACAGACAGTATAGTCCCCCGTATTTTTCCCGTTATGCAGCGGACCGCCCGAGTCCCCTTGACAGCTGTCCTTCCCTCCCGCACCCACGCAGATCTGCTTTACCGCAGAGTACGTCATTGGCGCCGGTTCGTAGGCCTTTTCACACACTGAATCCGTCCTCCACGTGACCTTAACCTTGAGAAGAATATCACTCAATCCCGCATTGTTCTCATGAGTGGCTCCCCAACCCGCAGCGATCATGAACCTGTCCGCCTTCGTAGACTTTTTGGCTAGTTTGGCGGGCTTGATGAACTTCGTGAACTTTAATGGATGCGTTAATCGATACAATGCGATATCGTTCGCATAGAGCTCGCTGAAAGGAGAAAAAACAGGTTTCCCCGTTTAATTAGCTTACTAATTAGTTTAATTAGCCCGTCTTACGTCAAATAAACTATTTCATTTCATATGTACATGGATCAGAATAATTACTTACGGGTCGAAATCTTCATGTGCAATAATTTCCGCCACTTTGGCAGTAACCTCTGTCCCGTCGTCACCACTTTGCACGTGTTCTCCTACGATTATCTTAATGTTCTTGGACTTGCAATGCGCCTGCAAGTAAATCAGTAATCATTTGCTTAGAGAGTAGTAGCTCCACAACCGATTTATACATCCAACATTTATACTTTTTTACACTTATACATTTACATCCAAAATTTATACATCCATTTATAAATCCACTTCACTCCGATTGATCGTTGAGTCGATTAGGTTTTTTTATAAGCTCGGTTATTTAGCTCAAGCCCGCTTCGCAAGAAGCTAAAAACGCTAGGCTTATTCGAATTAGAGTAGAAAAAATCCCGGGCTCAGCTCAGTTGAACTCATGGGGCAACTGGAGTTCTTAGCTCATCTCTATATGTTTAAGTGCAAAATTATAAAGTGACAATACATAATTTCACGAGTCTTGACATAAATACTTTCATGAAATTTGTAGTTCCACAAAACAATCTTTAAAAAATTACTAGTTTATTTTGGAAAAAGTGGGAAAGTTTGGCAGAGATTTTTTTGCTCCCCATCAAACTCAGTTTTAGCACGCATATTGTGCACTTGCAATTTTCTCGAGCGAATAAATTTCTTTAAATAAATTTATGTATTTAGCGCAAAGATGAAAATTAATTTCTTTATGACGTAAGGTAAAGAACAAATCGGGCATTTTCCATCAAATATTTTATATCCATTTTCAACTAACCGCGCCAAGGATGAAATTCTCGCTAATAATTGTCCCCGCGCAGTAATGTTCGCCATCCAAGTGCATCGAGACGATCCAGGGAAATTCGCCTTGTCGGGCTTTACTGCCTCCCACGATTCGGCGAAGGGCTGTGCCGGTCAGTTCGGAAAACCGATTTTCTTCCCCATTTTCTTCAGCTGTTTACATAGTTGTTTAAAAATAAAAAAAGTATGCCAACTTATTTATTAATCTCATTGTGACCAAATTCGTCAAACAGATAACGGGCTTCAAAACATGTAATAAAACAATGTGTATTTTTTTGTACTTTGTGGAAAAGTAGGTTGAAAAAATGTAATTTTTATATATTTTTTCTTCCCCAATTTTGGAATTTTCCTCTTACCAAGAAATGTTAAAATGTGACTAAATTCTTCACATAACGGGCTCCAAAACACTTTCCGAACACGTCATAGAATGAGTATTTTTTGGAGTTTTGTGGAAAATAGGGTAGAAACATATAACCTTTATATACATTTTTCATCCTAAATTATGGAATTTTCCAAATATCAAGAAACGTTAAAAACTGGGTTTTCATGCTTTTCGTCAAATAACTAATTTAATGTTTTGCAAGGAATTAAGAAAACTCTAGTTGGTTTAATCGGTAATTATGAAATCAAGTTCAATTTAAGGGAGATTTCTTAAAAAATTATGGTCACCGTGAGGTTAAATATTTCTGAAAATCACATCTTTTTTCTTTAATTCCTTACCGCTTGCTACGAGTGCAAGATATGAAACGCACAGTAAAATCATTGGGTGTGGCTGCATCTTTGCTTGGCAAAATTTTGGGTGAGAATGTGTCCAAGTGTAGCTTTACTTTAGAAGTGAAGGCTGATATAAAACTGGTAATTTTTAATTAAGTGTTTCTTTCCTTAACAATGCAACCATTAAATATCGGTTTTTGCTTTTTTAAAGATTTATTATTATCAGAGGACGGATATGCACATATTTATTTTCGACTTCTGCCTTTGATGTAGACCGATCGTTACATAAATTTTGTGGGTGTGTTCCTCAACTCAAAAGTTTTTTGAAATTTTTGTAAATATTGCTGCATATTTCTAGATTTCAGAAGTATATGTAAATATTCAAAAATATTTCTGCCATTATTTAAAAAATAACGTGTTTTGGGTATTTTCATAAATACATTTTTTATAAATACTTAAACAATTTGAGCTGAATTTTGAGTTTTACAAGATAATTGGACCCGATAAGAATTAAATTCATAGAAACATATTTTGAAAAAATAAATATTAATTCATAAATCTTTATTTGCCCATTTTATTGCCAATATTAAATAAATTCTCATTTCGTATGTAAATACATATCCGCCCTCTGATTATATTTTTTACGTTTTGTATGCACTTTATGCTACGTAAACAGGTTGCTTAAATACCTTGACGATTATGTATTATTAAACAATGTGAAACATAAAGCAGGGTTGTCGTGCCCTGGAGTTTATTTATTTACCTATATGGCATTGAATCTTGCTTAATTCAATGTTGCCGAGATTTTGATAATTTTTTATCCTACAGGCAAAGGTTATTAATTTAATTGCATTCTAAATTAATTTTAAAATAAATAAAGGACGCTAAATTTTTCAGAATTAAAATAAAATTTCATGCATTCTTACCACTACAAATAAGTATTTCATAGCTTTAAAAATTTAGGATATTGATGGCCTTAAGCGTAGTCTCAATAATTTTTTGACAAAATTGTTACCTGCGGAGATACTATGCAACTCTACCGCGTGGTAACAATATAGTAACAAATTGTCTTCTGAGGGTAAGAAATTACCTCCGGTATCGGTAATATTTTTATTACCTGAACGTTGACATTGGGGGTCGAGCAGGATTTAGCCTCTGTATATATGTTACCATTCGGTGATAAATTATTACGCGAGTGGTAGAATTGCATACTTCCTCCGCCGGTAACGATATCGTCAAAAAATTATTGAGAATATAGTTGTTTTACATAAGTGCAGTCTTAAATTTTGTTTTGCACGTGTCGTTACGTTTTTCATTTAATTACATTTAAGCACTAATTCTGTTAATAGGATGACTCACAACCTGTGAGTCACGTCACAGGTGACTAAAATATCTACAATCTATATGGCATGTTTTCCACTTTGCAAAACAATTAGCGTAGCTTCTTTCTTAATTATTCTGCTGTTTACAACATACTTTATGTTAACTTGCACCCTAAATAATTTGGCGACTGTAATCCAATTTAATATTTAGTAACAAGCTCAGGGCTATTTTACGAGAAGGTTTTGTCTGTTCTTCCGTCCGTCCATTCATCTTTTTGTAAACATGGTAACTCTAAACCGAACAGAATTATATTATTAACTAAATCTGCTTCCAAAAATCAATATGCATACATAAATATAATTTACACAAATAATACACTTAATATAACTTTGAAATAATGCTGCATCAATTTTTTGCTTAGTTTCAAATTCTATTTACGACTGGCACATTTTAGCGTTTATTTATTAGAGTGTGGTCAAGCCGAATTATTATTTTACGACGTCCTGTAATCCTTTTTGAGAAGTGATTAATTTTAATGAGATGGAAACACATTCTTCGCTCGTGTTTGTGTGCTTGCTACTCACATCTCTGCCTTAATTTTCAATTAGCATCGTAATATTCTCGACACACAGTTGCGTCTTCTTAATAGCTCAACCACTTCTTAACTTCTAAAAACACATATTTTTCTTAAAATACGAATCTTCGTTACAAAATAGCAAAAATTCGTTACAGTTAATTTGCTTTAGCCATGTAAGGAAACTCGGCCAGATAACGTCTCAGATTTTTGCATCAATATTTTTGAGCGAGCAATACATACGTACATATTTTTAAATTATATTTTAAGTGCCTTTTGTGTCTAGTCTACGTATAAAATCAATTATCTGAAATTTACATGATTTCTAATTTTTTCAAATTACAATTTTGATAACCTCTGCCAGATAACCTCTCATATTTATTTGTCTTTACTTCTTATATAGTTCAAATGCAATTTTTCACCCAATTTGTTATTTACAAAATAAACAAAATGAAAACTACATACTTTATAAGTTTGGAAATAATAATAACTTTACTCTCATTGTATTTCTTTGGCAAAACCGAATCTCAAGCGTACAATCATGAAAGTTACTCTAACATGGATCGTTCCACTTGGATGTCAAAACTACCAGATTCTTCTCGTCTGAGTGATATCACAATTCCGGGAAGTCATGATTCAATGTCGCTACACGGCGGATTTGCGGCTCAAACGCAATCCTTGTTTTTACAGGATCAGCTAAAAGTTGGGATTAGAGCGATCGATATCCGGTGTCGGTGGTACAGGGACAGTTTTCCGATTCATCATGGTATCATCTTCCAGGTAACGGAATACAAAATTCTTGACATGAAATAAATTGCAATTTTTCATCTGTAACAAGGCTGATATTAGGTGAACTTCGAGTGTATATGCAAATGTGTCGAATTTAATAGAGTGCAAAGTTTTGTTAAAGTCGAAAAACCGAAATTAATTTACATAAATACATTTCTGTCGCAAAAAAACAGCAGAGTAGAAATCACTGTAGAAACCAATTAGCAAAATATTTATGCATAATGCATTCTGCACATTTTTTGGACTTTACAAAACCCGTAAAAAAATTTCCATCGCTTTGATTCTGCAGGACGGAATGTGCATAATCCTTAACAATTTTCTGGCCAAATCATTATCCTGCATAAAGTTTTTGTGTAAACGGTTAAGTCAAATTTCTGTAGAAGGCTGGGTCAAGTTTGTGCATCCAAAATTCTATAAATTTTTGTACATTCATTTTTTATTTTTTTCCCCGTGTAAACAAAACTCCTAGATAATTTCTCAGATTTTTATTTGCGTATACATATTTCTTTAAAACGGAGTAAATTGAGGTGAAATAAATTAATAATGTTAAAATTTCAGAAAACCTACTTCGACTCCGTTCTCCAAACCGTGGTCTCCTTCTTACACTCCAATCCCAATGAAACCATCCTCCTCAAAATAAAACAAGAATATGATTCCTCTCAAAATACGAAAAGTTTCTGGCAAATTTACCAAAATTATGTGGCCCCCGTCAATCAATCCGTTTGGATCCCCACCTCTGCAAATCCAAATTTATCCGAAATTCGGGGTAAAATCGTAATTCTCGACGATTATTCTACTTCCTCCACCCCACAAAATTTTACTTCTTACGGAATTTCCTACAAATCCCGGGAACTTTTCGACTCTCAGAATTTTTACCAGTTAAAAACTCCCCTGGAAATGACGAAGAAATGGAAACTTGTCAAAAACCAGGCCCTCAAGGCGAATAATTCAAGGGGATCGTCCTACTTTGTGAACCATCTCAGCGGAAATGGTGACGCTACCGGAGTTTTTCCCTATTTCGTGGCGAGCGGCCGGGCCACCTCGGGACCGAATTCGGACCAATTATTTACCGGAGTTACGGATCCCCTCGGGAAGAAGATGTTCCCTCCCGAATTTCCCCGAAGGCATTGTCTCCTAGGAATTTGTATGTACTACTTTGAAGGAATGAATACGTTAATGAATGATTTTATTAAAAATAATGACATCAAATTTGTAGGAATTGTGTACTCTGATTTTCCTGGAGATGGATTAATTGACACTTTGATTAATTTGAATTTTAAATGAATAAAAGTTTTAATTTCAAAAATGTTTCGCCAGAAAGGAGATTACCGTACAAGGATACATTTTCCGGCCAATTACTTTTTTATTGAGTAATGTTTCTGTCCTTAACAAATTTTATGTTACTTAATTAATTAAGGAGATTATGTGGTCCATGACTTTGCTAGTCAATATGTAACATTACTAATTCTAACAGATATTAAAACACAGCGGGATATTTAGAAATTCCTTCTATTTTACATTATGCACTAGGGAGCAATATTATTCGGGTAAGGGGTACCACAAAATTCAAATTACAATAAGTGAGTAACTGGCAAATATATCGATTTCAATTCTTTTGTAGTTTATGTACCATTTACGTAGTAGTTTTTCAGTGATCTTAAGCATATTTTTGAAAAGGTTCAAATTTTTAAGATAGATATATACAATGAAATAGTGTTTTTTCGCAATGGAGCGATTTTCAAGTTTCCGATGGCTTAAAATTTCCGTAATTTTTTGTACATCAAGAATCTGAAATAATATTGGGGTAGCGCATGGACAGTTTTCGCGATACGAGCAAAAATGTGCGAATTTTTTGCTAATTTTGGATTTTGACTCAAACTTGTCCAAATTTTGGTCAAATATCACCGGAAATAATTTTAAAAATTATTTTGTGCCAGAATTTGGCCGCTGCCTTGATTTATAACCCCAATTTTCTAATATGTTGAACTTTGCAAAATAATTGCATTTTCGATATTAGTATTCCACGATCGAATTATTGAATTTTGGTTCGCAATTTAAGGTAACCCAGAGGTCTAATAATAGAGCGAAATCGTCAGATACATAGAATCCGTTGCTTATTCCAATTTTTTTAAACGAACTTGAAATATTGTTAATAATTCGAAATTATGTACATAAATAAGTAACTCTTCGACGTTTGGAATTTTAGCCTTAAATTTGGAGACCACAGTTACAACAAATTTGACGACAAGATTTGAACGAAATCTAAATTATAGTATGAATAATGAGTTTCTGTTTAAGATTACAACGGATTCCTGATATGTCCTGTTGCTAATTCGGAATTTTGAAATTAATACAAAGTTTTGTTACACTCTTAGAAAAATTTTTACTTTTTTGAAAAGTAAGAGCACTTTTCACTAGAAATGAAGTAATGGGAACTAAATCCAAAGTAAACTTTACTTTCAATAAAGTACGCGTTACTCTGGATTTAGTACCCATTACTTCATTTCGAGTAAAAAGTGCTCTTACTTTTCAAAAAAGTAAAAATTTTTCTAAGAGTGTACCCACACGGAATTTTGTTAATGCCGCGTTGACTTGTTGTATAAACCAAATATCGGTGAAAAAGTCAGGAAAAAGAGAGCAAAATTATTCGTTTTTTTTCTCTAAAAACCCTAATGTATATAAAAAACTGAAGTGATTAGTAAAAACTGTTCCCCATCTTTAGTTAACCATGTCACGGTCTACTTAATTTGATACATTTGAAACTAGCAAGTTCATCGGAAGAAGGGGTGGAGAGATTATCATTGCGGTACTCGGCCTCATGATATAGCATTCGAAAGTCAATGAAAATGGAAAGACAACGCAATTTGAAAATTTCAAAATACCTCATATCTCACTCCAGTTAGGGAGCGTCCATAAATCACGTGATCGATTAGAGGGGGGAGGGGGTCTGAAATTTGTCACCAATTATCACGGTGGGGGGGGGGGTAGATGGTCAGATGTCACGTGACAAGAGTAAAGTTTCTAACGTTTGTATATCGTCGTACTAATTCATAAAAGACCTAAGTGCAGTCGATGCTAAATTCAGAAAAGACCTAAGTGCAGTCGGTGTTTTATTCAGAAACGACCGAAGTGCAGTCGATGCTCAATTCAGAAAAGACCTAAGTGCACAGAAAAAAAGTAAAAAAAGACCTATGTGCAAGTATGTATTTACTTATGGCTAAATCGCGCGATATATATGAAAAATCATTTTGGCAAGATTTAGCCATAAGTAAATACATACTTGCACATAGGTCTTTTTTTACTTTTTTTTCTGTGCACTTAGGTCTTTTCTTAATTGAGCATCGACTGCACATCGGTCGTTTCTGAATTAAACACCGACTGCACCTAGGTGTTTTCTGAATTTAGCATTGACTGCACTCAGTGCCCGTGCGACCCCAAATAATTACCAGGGCAAAATATATTTGAGCGCCCCTGATTTTTCTCATATTTTTTCATATTTTTCTCATAATTTTCTCACATTTTCTTCATATTTATCTAATGTGATTCTTATATTCTATGCAAATAATTTTTCCGAGGCGCTAAAGGCTGTAATCATATTTTAAAATCGTCAAAGAACTAATAATTCGATTTTTTAACGAGCACAGCGAGAGAAATCTAAATGCAGATCTTTTATATACATTTAAAAATCCAGATGCATATGGGACCAATTTTACTTTTTTCAGTAGGAAAATAAGCATTCCCAATTTTTTTTTCCTTTCAGAATTCGCTAATTTGAGCCCGATATTTTCATTTTAAATTGCTTTCTAGCCAAAACATGTGGCTTTTTAAATTTTGGAACTTTTCCAATTTGAAAATTTCGAAAAATTGATTGGTTACTTGACATTGGTATTAGACATTCGTCTGCAATATTTTTTTTAATTTAAAAGTTCGCCGGAATTTGCTTTTAGATATTTCATAAACTTGCAAAAATATCTTTAATTTAAAATTTCGCTAAGGTTGGATTTTCATTAATCAAGGATTCAATTTTTTATACAGAAACATGCTTTCGAACTTTCTAACACGCAGCAAAATTCGAAAAGCTCAAGGCTTTTGAAAACCACGAGTTTACAACTGGAAAACCTTTTAAAATTCGCACCTTGATAAAATAAAATTCATCCAATTAAATCTGAATTTTTCATTTTAAACAGTCGCATTGTGTGTGGGAAAAACAATTTAAATTTTCGCGCACGTGCTTTTGTATGAAGGGGTCGAGTGTATTACTTTATTAAACTCAAAGGAAACTTTCGAAAAGAACCGAGGTTATAAATTACGTCCAGTAACCAAGTAGCAAAATGTATAACAGATTATCATATTTTTAAAAATAAGCAATGATTGTGATTTCCAAAATCTTTGTACATGCCTGATGAAGATGACTGTGGGTCACTGAAAGCTAGCAATTTTTCAATAAATCAAGTATTATCCTCGAAAACCGCAGAGATGTCTACTAATAATTATGTCGGAGGATGGAACAAATTCTACAATATACTTAGAAGGCTTCGCGGTGAAGCAAGTGAAGAAGTCATTGGAAAGATGAAGAAATTGGAGTCACTCTACAAACAAGAAGTCCATTTAACAAACAACACTATTTTTCTACGACGTTGCAAAAAAAAAATATGACATTATCCCAACCGGACTACTACTCAAAGATTTCTCCATAAGATTCGGACCTCATGATAAGATCCAAAGTTTTCAAAAACGAACTGAGTCAAACTTATTAAACTGTCTTATCAATGTAAACTACACCAAGCAAAAGAAAATTCAATCAGAAATGAAGAAATTAAGAACAACCATTCGAGAGTCAATCCCTACATTATGGAACTGGCTATGCAACTTAATGAACAATATGAGAAACTCCCTTCATCTGAAAATTTCCAGCACGCAGAAAAATAAGTTCAATAGACTTATGGAGAAAAGAGCCGAAAATGTCTGTACCACAGCATATCAAAATAATAAAGATTTACTCCAGAAACCAACAATTAAAAACTTGTCATCCCGGCCTCTTTCTGCATTGGAAGAAAAATTACTCAACCTAGGACTGAACTTTTCTCTTCCCATAAAAAATGTTGGAAACATTATGATTGACACTGCAGCGACCCTGGAACTTCGAATGATGGATATGGAACTGACAGATAATGACAAAAACAAAATCAGAACCGGAGTAGCAAGAATAATGGCCAAACACATTAAAAAAGAACAAATCCAACAAAGATGGGAAAAGTGGATAAATAATTCAATCAGATCCTTACTTCAAGACAAAACAATATGTATTACTAAAGCGGACAAAGGAAATTGCGTGGTCATCATGGACAGAGAAACGTATAGAGAAAAAATGGCTGCAATGATCATGTCTGGTCCATACACCATGCTAAACCATGACCCAACCCCACTTCATGCGAAAAACGTTGCAGAAAAGTGTCAAATCTTGAAAGAAAATGAGATCCTGCCCGAAAATATTTTACCACAATTAATAGAAAAGAATCCTCGAGCTCCAATAATTTATGGTGCTCCCAAAATCCACAAGTGCAACATCCCGTTAAGACCAATTGTGGATTACAGATGCTCCCCAACATATAAATTGTCCAAATATTTAGCAAATATTCTAACTCCAGTCGCCTCAAAAAATGAATTCTCAATCAAAAACTCTACTGAACTCGTCAAGGATCTAAAGAAATTAAAATCAAGACCAGGTGACATCAAAGTTTCTTTCGATGTTACCTCTCTCTTCACAATGGTCCCAATACCAGAGACTATAGATTACATCAAAGAAAGATTGGAATCATATCCACAACTCGCGGAATTAACAAAACTGTCCGTGGAAGATATCATATCACTCCTAAGATTATGTACATCCGCTTCATATTTCCAATTAGAAGAGAAATATTACAAACAAAACCATGGGACAGCGAGGGGGTCTCCTCTTTCCCCCGTGATGGCAGAGTTTTTCCTTCAAAAACTGGAATTAACACTTATCAGAAGCAACCCCCACATCTACTTTTGGAGACGGTTTGTGGATGACGTATTGTGTATAATCAGACGGAGAAAAGACCAAATATTACAAATGATCAACAATTTTCATCCATCCATCCATTTCACAATGGAGGAAGAAATTGATGAAAGAATACCATTCCTTGACATTTTAATTTAACCTAAAAATGACTTTTCTTTAGGCCATTACATTTACAGAAAACCAACTCAAACATCCCAATATCCCAATTTCCGGTCATTCCACCCTCGTGCTCACAAGATTGGTGTCATCGACACACTACTTACCAGAGCCATCCGACTTTCAGACGTGGAACACCTTTATGATGAAATCAAACTTACCAAAATCATACTAGAGAAAAATGATTATCCTTCATCTCTTATTAATAACCGTCTGACCAGGGTGCGGATAAAATGTCAACAAGATCAACGGGAAAAAACGGTTGACATACAGAAAAGGATCATTCTTCCGTGGGCTGGAGATGTAACGTCAAAAATTGCATCCCACTTACGAAAAACTATGGACGTGGAAATAGGATATTATCCCGGACCGAAACTGGGTTCAATTTTATGTAATGCTAAGCAGAAGCTGAACAGACCAAGAGCTGGAGTGTACCAAATCAAATGCAACTCTTGTCCACATGTGTACATTGGTGAGACCGAACGAGACTTTTTGATAAGAATTAATGAACACCAAAACGATATTAGAAGAGCCAGTATAACTTCTCCTGTTGCACTACACATGCTGGAAAACAATCACGAATTAGACACAACATCCTTCCGTCTCATAGTTCCTGAACACCGGAAATTCTTTCGCAAATTTAAAGAATCCCTCTACATAAAGAAAATGGACAACAAAATGAACGTTTCCAAAGGCATTAACATCAACCCGATATGGTGCGCAACACTATTAAATTTTTTATAAATTACGTCCAGTAACCAAGTAGCAAAATGTATAACAGATTATCATATTTTTAAAAATAAGCAATGATTGTGATTTCCAAAATCTTTGTACATGCCTGATGAAGATGACTGTGGGTCACTGAAAGCTAGCAATTTTTCAATAAATCAAGTATTATCCTCAAAAACCGCAGAGATGTCTACTAATAAAAAATTCGATTTATTCAAGAATCTAAGTAGGATTTGAGAACATGTCAATGGTCTTAAAAATTCATGTCACGCATGAAAATGTTCAAAATTTGAGTCCGAACATTTAATTATTACTGATTAATTTTATCGTAACAGTTAAAACAAGTTTATTTTAATTTGCCTCAAGACGTACAAAAATCCCACAAGAGCAAAATTCCGAATAAGCTTTGGAGGTTTGATGACAGAACCACAGAAATCTAAGCTACAAACACCAGTGATGGCTTACTCAAAGGCAACTGAAAATATCACTCATTGCTTCAGGGAATATTCAAAAGATGAATTTTACATCAATCAGGTCCAAAAATGTATTTACTACGCTTATAAATTGCTAATAAATAACTTGGCATCATATCATAGACTTGTAGGCGCCTTTCGGCGCCCCTCGGCGTCTCAGCGCCCCGGGCAACTGCCCGGCTTGCCCGCCCCTCTCACGGGCCCTGACTGCACTTAGGTCTTTTATGAATTAGTACGACGATATGACAATAAATGTCATGAGAGTTATAAATTCTCTTGGTACTTGGCATACCACACGCACGTTATATAGATTTGATTTTCATTTTGCATATTTAAAAACTTGCTTCGACTTAAAATTCTTATGTATGTCAAACTGGCGCATTAAATGGTTATTTACACATTTGTGTAGCTCAAATTTGATTAATGATTTAAACAACACTGGAATAATATGGTTATTCTGGACAACATAAGTTGATTTAAGCATCATCTCCTGTCACGTGACCGGTGGGGGGGTCGAAATTATCACCAACGGTCACCAAGGGGGGGGAGGGGGTCAAAATTGTCCAAAAATCGATCACGTGATTTATGGACGCTCCCTTACTCACCTATTGTCATTTGAATTTTGAGGTTCCCTTACCCAAATAATATTGCACCCTAGTGTACATTGAAGTTTGTAGATAAAATACGTAAGCCAAATAAGCTACGTAAACCTACATATTTACTCTTCAGACACAACAGTCCCAGAACTGTGACTGTTAACTTTAACAGTTATGTTATACTGGTTTCATGGTTCGAATTGAGTTTGTTTGGCCCAGACAGAGGCCAGGGTTTCTCATTATTTAGGCTCGAACCGCACAGAACATGTCCAAATCAATCCGAGAATACATCTATGTATGTAATTGGTTTACATAATTTATATAGTACAGTTAATAATTTATAGCTTTTCATAATACTTAATTATACTTACAATTGAGGTCTCCCAACTTACGCTCACAAATCTGAACCAAACTAGCGTCAATCGATCATAGATATAATTAGTATGAATTTTGAAGATGGCACTATCTGCCAATGCGATGGTTTGATGGAGATATTTTTGCTTCCAAAACGAGAAAAATGCACAGCAACTTTGGAAGATGAACAATTTGCCAGCCGTGGGGGTACATTTTCTCCTCGTTTTATGCAAATATCTCCACTAAACTTGAGAGGATTGTTCAATTTGCAAATTTCATACAAATTATATCAAATTTAAAAAAATGTTATGTCCATTTGAAAAAAGTGTCGATCTGAAGTTTCAGATCAGAATTAAAGCACTACAGGCGCGTAATCGGACGTAACTAGTTTATCTTTATGCAAAATAATTTAAATTCCGAATATAAAAAAAGACTGGCTGCGAACTAATCCGAACGTTGTCAGAGAAAAAGTTTCGCGTCGACCTCATGTCTTCTGATCCTCGCTGAAGTTGTGCATATCTTGGTGAATAATTCAGTTCAGTGTACGCCCAGGCACCTGACACTTCGTGGCCAGTTGATTTTGTATTGATAAAAACATTATTGCCTGATGTGCAATATAATATACATATATGACATTGGGGGACGTGGCTTATGTATCCCTTCCATGTTAAAACTATAACCACTCCTACTTTCCTATCCCACAATGTTAAGCAAACCCCGCCCCAAAATGGGGTAAGTTGAAACATGGGGAAAATGAGACACATGAGGCAAGTTGAGATTCCAAAAAAATGCTGGGGCAAATTGAGAGTGGGGTAACTTGAGATTCCAAAATGCAGGGGTAAATTGAGACTGGGGTAAGTTGAGATTCCAAAAAATGCTGGGGTAAATTGAGTCCGAGGCATGATGAGACTCCCGAGACAATCTGCAACTTGAAACTTAGGTGTGACTAGCCTCTAGATGCAAAATAAGACAATGATACTTGAGAGGTAAAATGAGACTTGGTATGCTATATGGTATACGCATACATTTCAGATTAAAAATGATCCATTGAATCAAATTTGAGAAGATTTACATTATAATTGTAATGAAATGTGAATTTTAAACCTCCTAGCAATTAAATCTGGAGAGAAGGTATTGGGATAGGATACAGGAGAAAGTGGTTCCTGAAAGGAAGCGTTTTGTTTAGTACAATATCCTGTTAAACTTTGCTGAAGAACTCAAACTCGAACTTTTTATTCCCCCCCCCCCCTCTCCATTGATGGTCACCCTTAAAGAATAAGGTTCATTGACTGAAAGCGATCAGTAAGCTTTTACCCTCTATACGCATCACACACCAAATCACTACCACTCTTCCTCTCTCACACACACATATACACAACTACACGCAGACCTTGTTGTCATCATCATCATCATCAACATGTCATCAGCATCAGCACCTGTGAAAAGAGATAATGGTGGAGAGGAGAAAGCGACGAAACGTATGAAGAAAGTGCCAACCAAGTGCCAACCCACTGAATTTGTGAATTCGCAAAAACGGCTCTGGATACAGGAGGAGAGTGACGTCCCATTGACTACCACTTCCAGATCCAACAACCTAGATGTACTGAAGTTGAAGGTGATCATGAAAGAAAAAGAAGGGGGAGAAGGAGAAGAATTTGAAGAAGACGTAGAGGAAGGTGAAACGAAAGCTGGGAAACTAAAAGTGAACCACCAAATGGAAGAGGAAGAAGAAGAACAAGTAGAAGTTAAAAAGAAGAAAAACTTTCCCATTATGCAGTACAATGATGATCACCATATTACTCCACCTGCATTTGAAATAGCGGCAGCACCACTCTTGGGAATCAAACTCCCTCCTACCAACAATGAAGTTCAAATGAAGTATACTCTTTCGGCGGTGCGAAAGCAAATGTTTCTAGTATTTAGGAAGCCATTTGCGCACATTAATGGGATCAAGCTGTTCTACACCGAAGGCTTCACAACGGTGGATCTATTTAAGCTAAATGGGAAAAGTGCATGCCAAAGGGTGAATGTCTTTTATAGACATTCATCACTTTTTAGCCTCATCAACTCAGGCATTCATCCCAGGGATTGCCCAGGCAGCAAAGTTTTACTTGACGAAAATTGCTTCCACGAAATTTTCCAGTGAGGTGGACAAATTTATATTTACACCGTTCAACTTCTCAAGCTACGGAATCCCACATGATAGACGAGTAGTCGACGAGGCAGGTGTCTTGCTGAAGGACCCACCCGTGCTTGAGAACGTGTTTGTCAAGATCAAGCAGCAACAAGCGAAAAAAACTCCGTCATGGAATGCTGTATCGGTTGGATCACTCTCCATCTCCATTTGCTCAATGGACAAAGGCACTTGGTATCTGGGTCTGCATAAGCGTGTAGGACCTACACAAGATCAATGCATTTGGATTTCAGTGTACGAATTTCAATGGTTAGTCTCCACACTTGGAGGAATCTACCAGGAAATGTATGATCACATTTTGGAACACCAGGATGACTACGAGGAAGACGAGTTCGTTGCATTACTAAAGAAACAGAAGGCAAAGAAGAAGAATTATGCAGATAATGTCTCCATTGGAGAGAGCAGTGGCACGGGAAAAGAAACCGTCGAGGATTTTATCGACGAGGAGGAGGAAGAGGAGGAAGAAGAAGGAAAGGAAAAAAAGAGGGTATTTTTTTCTCATTTCACTTTCTTTGTGCACTTTCACTTCCTCTGTTTCTCTCTATGGTTCTTCAGTTAGCTAAAATTTCGTTTTAAACAGGAGGACAAAGATGAGGATGAGGAAGGTGATGATCCTCAGGTTTTGGAGCAAGGAGAGGAAGAAGAAGAAGAAAGTGAGGAAGAGCAGGGAAATTCGCCAATTCCTGTCACGATGAAAAGGAAACGAAGCGATCGCGATTGGTAAGTTTGATTCTATCTACCTTTCTCTCTTGTCTCATCTCCCAACTGAACATGACGTCTCCCAAGATGTGTTTGCTGATTCTGCTCATCGTTGAACTTCTCTTTCTTC